TTCCTTCCTCCCCCCTCTCTCCTCCTCTCCTCTTGGCATGGCGCGAGGGCGGCGGCGGGGAGCGGGGGGGAGGCGGGCTGGCGGCGGGTGGGAAGCGCGCCTCTTCCACCCGCGCGAGGATCACCGGCGAGGTTTGCACCGGCCTGCCCAGCCGCACTCGCTTGTGACCGAGCAGCAGCAGCTGCACGCCTCGAGGCGTCTGCGTGAGGCGCGTCACCTGAGCGAGCGTACCAACCTCGTGCAGCGACGCCACGTCCAGCAGCGGCGCCGGAGGAGCGAGGGCGCCGTCGGCGGCGCCGCTGACCGCAGTCTCTTCGCTGCCGCCACCGACGCCGCTGCCGCCGCCGCCGCCGTCGCCGGTCCCTCCGGCGATCACCTCGGCGACTTCTGCGCCGTCGTCGGAGGCGTCCAGGTCGCCGACGCCGCCGCTGACTTCCTCGTGCCCCTCCTTGGGCAGGAAGACGCCAATGTACGGCAGCTGGCTCGCCTTGACCGTCAGCAGCGCCTTTGCGAGCGCGTCGTTGGTCACCTCTGCCGGCTGGTAGACGCCGGGAAAGAGCGGCCGCGTGGGGAAGGGGAAGACGAGCACGGGAGGCAGCGCGGAGATGTTGCTCGGGTCGATGGACATGAGCGAAGACTCGGACGACTCTGCTTCCGACGTCACCACCACAGTCGCCTCCACCGGCTCATCGGCGCTAGTCAACTCGCCACGCTTTGCGGTAACATCGCCGTCCTTGCCGTCGCCGTCGCCGTCGCTCGAGCTGCTGCCAGAAGAGCAGAGGAGTCGCAGCGCACTGTGGGGCTGCGGCACGCGGTGCAGCGACGTCCTGGGGAGCTGGCGCGATAGCAAGCCGGAGGCTCTGCCGAGTAGACCAGACATGTCGTCGAATGTCGGGACAGCTGCTTAGGATTTTTTTTGAGCTGCCTTCGATGAACCTACGCCCCCCCCCCGGCCGGGGGCAAGGCGGACATGGCATATCGCTCTCGGGCCCACAGACATCCCGCACACCCGCCGCCCCCCGCGCGCGCCCCACCCCGGCCGGGAGAAAGGGGAGTGACAGCTTGGGACGGCATTTTTTGCGCAGCTCGGCGCCGCCAGGACAAAGTGTGAGTGTTAGAGTTGTTTGGTATTGCTAAAAATCTCTCTCTCCGCCAGGCGCCCGCCCCGGCGGTGAGCGACGCGTTTTTCAAAGGAAGAAATTTGCTTTGTTCGAATTCCTAGTCCGGCCGTGTAAGGAAGACTGGATCAGATTTGCCATACTGCCATCATACCCAGAGAGCTCAAAGTGATATGAAGAATTTAAACAAAAGAACTCTCTCAGCGATGAAGAAGCCGCAAAGTTAAAAATCGAAGTACATATCTCTGTCCTGCGCGCGAGTCGACCATCTCTCGACCATCTATCCGTCTCGGACAGAGCCATGCCTCGCGCCCCGGTCGACTCCATGGGCCCAATGCGTTTCAACAGCAAGGACAAGCGGGCGCCCTTGCTCCACCAAACGCCGAGCAGCCCCTACGACTCGATGGTGATGGACGACATGCACGGCGTGAGCAAGCAGCTGCCGATTGCTGAGATTAAGCATCGGCACTTTATTCTCGGCTGTCAGGTGCCTCGCCACGGCGCCACGCTCGGCGATGAAGGCGCACACTGAGGATCGGCTCCCCTTTTGCTCAGGCGGGGCTCGCGCTGCAGATGTTCATCATGGTGCTGATCATGATGGCCACCGCCTACGTCGAAAAGTCAAAGTTCGGGATCATATTTGAGCTCACCTACGTGTACTACCCTCTCTTTCGCGGTCTGATTCTCGCGACGGTGTTCGTTGCACTGTATGGCTTCGATGTCTACGTTTGGAAGCACAGCGGGGTCGACTACCACACGCTGCTGGATGTGCACCGCTCGCCACCTGGCTCTGCCAACATTCGGACACCGAGCTGCAATGCCATGCTCATAGGTGTCGGCGAAGCACTCCTACCACGTCGTCGTACGCCTCTCGTTCGGAGCGATGACGGTGAGCTTTGCCGTTGATGTCGTATCTGACGGGTGTTTAGTGGCGACAGCGCTCGACCGCGGCGCCCTCTGGTCAGGTGGTCTTCACCTCCTTCGTCCTGTACGTTCTCACGCTGATCACCGAGCTGTACACCCTCGATCACGTCAGCAAGCATGTCTGGCCGATAGTGGCGCTGCTCGGTCCCACCATCATACTCCTGTGGCCCTTCAACTGGATGCCCGAGTGGAGCGATCGCAAGCAGCGGTACTTGCTCCTCAAGGCCGTCGCCTTCGTCATCGTCTCGCCCTTGACAAAGGTGACGTTCTCGCGCTCTTTCATTGCAGACATGCTCACGTCGATGCCAAAGCTCTTCAACGACTTTCTTCTCGCCGCCTGCCTCTATATCACAGGCCCGCCCCCCTCGCCCCTCACCTTCCGTGTGTGGCTCGAATTTGAAAGCAGCTCGCGATCTTCTGCGTCGCGGCCCTCGCACCGAGATAACGTAGCCGAGCTCGTGCAACCCGACCCAACGACGCTTGCAGGCGGCGCCTTTGACATCGAGTGGGACCCTCACAAAGCAGCTCTCCACAACAAGGAGCACAACCAGTGCCACAGCTTCCGTTCCTACACCGCTTTGCCAGTGATCCATACTGTCCTCTCGCTACTGCCCTTTTGGATCCGGCTCATGCAATGCTTCCGTGCCTTTGCCGACTCTCGTGAGCCAGGAAAGGCCATTTGCGCCGGCGGGCTGCGGTCCGCCGCCCCACGACACCTATTCAACGCCGGAAAGTGAGAACCCGCCGCACGCATGCTCCCCCTCCACGTCCACACCCTCCCTCACGCCTGCCACTGAGACGATTGCGACCCGGCAGGTACACCGCCTCCCTTGCGGTTGCGCTGCTGTCGGTGGGGGTCACGCCCTTTGGGAAGTGGGGTGAGAGCGCGTAGAGGCGGACTCAGATGGATGGCGAGCGGCGACACAAGCAGAGCTGCCTCGACCTGTAGGCTTGTCTGACAATGTGTGGGCGGGCGTCTCCCTCTTCTCGTCCGTCTATTCGTTCCTGTGGGACGTCTTTATCGACTGGGGTCTGCGGTTGCCGATTGGTGAGAGACACCCAGTTGTGTAGCTCACGATTTTCACTCTGCTCCGAGCGATGCGCGGCCCACACCGCTCGCAGGTGAGTCCAAGTACAGCGCGGCTGCGTCGAGCAGACGGTTCGTCTACCACTCGTGGTTCTACCCGTTCGCGATATGCACCAACGCCGCTGCACGACTCAGCTGGGCTGTCTACATCTCGCCCGGCCAAACGCTGCTCAAGCGCCACTGGGTGCTTCTGATCGCGGGTGCGTTCCACAAGCCTCACTCAACAGACCTCAAAATTCTCCCCCTCCCCAACCCGATTCGTCGTCCCCTCCGGACAGGCATCGAACTGCTTCGGCGTGCACAGTGGGCTCTGCTGCGCCTGGAGCACGAGAACTCGCTGGCGCAATGCCAATGCTACATCCACGCTCGAGAGGCTGCGCTGAGGAGGCCACGTTCGAGCACGCTGTGAGCAAGCCGGCGGAGGACCGGGGGTCTTGCGCGCGCGCGGGAGGAGGTGTCGTCGGCGCTTGGGCGAGAGATGGAGGAAAATAGGATTACATTATGAGTTGCGGCGCAACTGAAAATATCGCGACGACGATGAAAACATCCCACCGCCCTCGATCCTCTAACCCATCTTATGTCACAGTATATGGTACATGCATTACCCAGCCGAACAGCGCAGTCGTCGTCCCAAGTTGGTCTGACGGCCTCGCAACGCTCACCTCGCCTAAGCGAGGCTGAGCCTCGCACACGTAAGGGACGGGACGACACGCTCCTGCCCTCGCCCGTCACATCACTTTTGCGCCTTTTTTGCCCATTTCTCCTGCGTCGCTGTCACGGCCTTCCACACCTTGCCACGCAGCAGCGCCGGGTAGTACTCGAGGCCGCGGAACCTGCGCGAGGGAGGCGTGGTGAGAGGACACGGCTTGGCTCGAGGGACGGGGGCGAGGGAGGGACGCACATCTCCGCCTCGGAGCCTTGGAGGTGCTGCAGGTCATGCAGCGTCTCGATGCCGGCCTCCTGCAGCAGCTCGACGGCCTCCGAGTGCAGGTTGTACTTTGTGGCCCACGTCTGCAGCTCCTTGGTCGACTCGTCGTAGAAGAACGACGTGCCACCGGGAAGCTTGGGCGGTCCGCTGACACCGGCGCTCTGCGGTGCCACCACATGGCGGTCGCCAAATAGTGACTCTTTGATCGATGTGAACTTTGCTGTCACCTTGCCTGCGAGAGTCGTCGGGCGCTCATCGTCCTCACCGTCGGCGTCCTCCTCGTCCTCCTCGTCATCGTCGTCATCGTCGTCGTCGTCGTCCGACCCGCTCTTCTCCGCGACGCTGTTGCGAGCCGCTTCCATCAACTTCCCCTGCAGCCGCGGCGTGAGCACTGGGTCGACGGCGGTGCTCGCGCTGGCAGCGCCGGGGTCACTGAGGCTGATTCGCCCTGTGCCCTCCGCGAGCGCCGCGTTCGGGTCGGCGAGGTTCTTGCGTGCCCTCGCGAGCCGATCCGCCTTGGTTGACATGGAGAGGCGAGAGCTGTCGAAGCCCGCAAAGCGGAGCGAGCCGCCGGCCGACCGGGAACCCAGCTGTGATCATCTCGACCACGGCTGCAGCCCACGCCGACTAAAAATCTGCTTGCGTGCGAGGGGAGGGGGCAGTACATGCACGTAAGCGGCTTTGGGGCGAGATGCGGGCCGCCGGGTGGGTGATTGGGGGGTCTGTAGGGCGAGGTGAGTTCTTACCGCGGGATATATTGTTGATTGGGAAAGAGAGCCAGACTCCCGCGCGCACTTGGAGCACTTGAGGAGTCGCAGTCTGCAGGACGCCCCCTCTACTCGGAGCTAATGGACACGACACTGTACACCACTCACCTACACAGACACTTAAAAGAAAGAATTTGACAAGAAAGAATTCTTAAGATACAAGCCTCTCTCACAGCACACTGGCACGACAAGAAAGAAAACAGACAGCGCAAGGGAGGGATGGGAGGACGGCACGCCGCCACCACACAGGGATTTTAAGGAGAGGAGTGTGGTGCTAGCCGCCGCCCACTAACCCTTGGTCGTCTGCCTCTTCCTATCTCCCTTCGCAGGGTCCCTTGCCGATTCTCGCTGCAACCTTCATGCCACCTCGCGGTCGTCCCACTTCTTCTGATGCCCACTGCGATCATTTGCCGCCCAGTCATACCGTTGCTCAGGTCCACTCTCGTTTCGGACACTTGTACCTCCACCGATGATGTTGGCGCTGGGGTCCCCTTCGGGTGCATCGTTACAGCTGACGACGGGATTGCCACTGGTGTTTCGTCCTCCTCGGAGTCGTCTTCCCCGGCTTCCTTCAGCTCGGCTCTACGTTCAGTACCGTTCGGCGTGGCTCGGGCTAGAGAGCCCTAGCCCCGGGGGTGCGCGTTCGCAGGGAAAGGGCCATAAAGTAAACACGGTTCTCCGAGGAAAAGTTGCTTTCTAAAAAGAAAGAAAGAAAACGGACAACGCAAGCTGCTTTCTATAAATAAATAAATAAAACGGACACACCAAACAAGGGGTGGGAGAAGGACAGGGTCCCCACCTGCACGAGCAGGATCTTGTAAGGACGATCAGGGACACAGGGGAACGGGAGCGGGGAGCGCATCGCGACACGGAGGGGGGCTGGGCAGGGTTCACCCACACGACAGGGTCCCAGGGATTCCTCTCTCGTATAGGACAGGTTGCACCCGGCGGCACGGGGGCAGGCGCGGGCCTCCTACTGGTTGCGCTCTCCTAGTTCTCCTGCTCCTGACAAGGGACAGCGACGGGCTCGCAGCACGGTGGACTCCCTATCCACTGGCGATCTCTCTCGACTAGCGACCTTCCTCCGGCTTCTCACCAGTAGTCTCTCACTACCACGGGCTTTCTAAAGAAAAAGAAAGAAAACATCAGCCGAAGGGAGGGATGGGAGGACGGCACGCCGCCACCACACAGGGATTTTAAGGAGAGGTGTGTGGTGCGCTAGCCTTCGCCAACCAAGGCTTTCTTTCTGCTCGCACCACCAGTAAAATTCTTTCTGGTTGAGGACGCGGCACCTCGTTGGAAGAGACCTCGAGAGAGCGTGCGTGTGCCTCTACTCGCCAGGCGGCAGGCAGGGTCGAGGCGCAGTGTTGACAGGAGACATGGATGCGCTCGACTCAGCTCTGCGCGTCTGCCAGTCAGTCGCCTTCTGCTTGCACTGCGTCATCGGCCTCACCGAGCCGTTCCATCACATGCTGAATACGCTCACGGAGGACAGCCTGCCGTACCCGTCCATTTTCTTCCCCGTGGCTGGCCTCTGCTTGGCGACGGTTGCAGCAGCCAATTTCTCCGACGATGACATCGTGGTGCTCGCCGCGCAGGCGTACATCGTGGCGTTTCATACCGGCGGCGCGTACACTCACATCCGCATCAACCACCATCCAGCCACTGCCGTAGCGCCTGGCTTCTTTGTTGTGCTGGCGTTCATCGTCATCGCGCTGCGAACAAACGTTTTGATAGCGCTGGTGGTGACGGCTTGCTTCGTTGGCGTCGGGATGGTGCTCGGGCGGCTGATGGTGAGGCCAAACAAAGGGTGGAAGGCAGCGCTCCTGAAGGACTCGCGTGGATCCCTGGCTTGAGAACTTTGGTCGCTTTAGAGCGCTCGATAAAAAGCGCTGCCGCAACGTCGAGAGACGACTGACGAGAGCTGCGTAGCGCTGTTACACGAAGACGAAAGAGTGTACCGTGTAGCTCTGTACTCTACTGCAACAGTGTCACAAGGCCCGCCCAACCGAACAAGCGAGCACCCGGCACGCAGCCGACGCGCGACAGTGCACATCACGCGTACCGCTGTCAGCGCTTCCTCTTCCCCGCCGCCGGCGCCTTCGGCTTCGCCGCGCTCGCCGCCGCGCCCCGGTGGAAAACGAGCGTCGTCTCGGAGCTCTCTGCCTCGATGAAGCTCCACTGCCCGCTCGAGCCGCGGAAGGCGCGCAGGCCCGCCGGCTCTACCACCTGCTGCTCGGCGCAGAAGCGGACCATCTCGCCCCGCGCCTGCTTGGCGTGCACAGCAGGGCCCGGAAAGGCGCAGGTGATCACCGGGCAGCCGAGCGCGCCCATGTCGAGCGCCTTGGCGTACTCCTGCGACGCCACGTTCACCACGAACGGCGGCTCCTCCGCGCGGAGGCTCGCGGTGAGGGAGTCGCCCCAGTATTTGTAGAGATTCGGAGCGTCGCCGACGGCGAGCTTGGTCGACATCTCGAGCCGGTAGGGCCGGATCTCGTCCGTCGGTAGCAGGATTCCATACTGCCCGCACAGGATGCGCAGCGAGCGGCCGAGGTACTCGAGCTGCTTTGCGTCCAGCGTCGAAGCCTGCAGGCCCTTGTAGGCCGCTCCCTCAAAGGCGCCGAGCGCGATCCGCGCAGGCTGCTCGGCAAAGGCCGAGTAGCGCGCGTGGTTGAGCTGGGCGAGGGAGTCGCTGAGCGACATCAGCGACTTGATCTCGCTCTTGCTCATCGAGCCGACGCGGTCGGCGAGCGCGCTGCACCTCTCGAGGAAGCGAGGCTCGGTGGGCGTGAGGCTGCGGAGCGCCGGCGAGAGCGCCGAGTCAAAGTTGAGCGTCTTCGCCGGCGAGAGCAGCAGCAGCGGAGGGGTGGACTTCATCTATGTCCTGTCTGCTACAGCTGCAGCTAGCAGCACACTGCAACGCGCAAAAGCTGCCCGGGCGAGAAATCGTGTCCGCAAGGTGAAGCGCACCGGATCGTGTGCCCGGTGTGTAGAGCGTGTCAGTGCCCGCTCTGTGGTACGGCTTGCGCGAGCGTCGGTGGTGAGCTGAGATTGATGAACCGCAAACAAACAAATGTACGCCCACTCGGAATATACCTTGGGCTTCCGCGCCTCCGTTTCGAGAGAGGCTCCACCCCCCCCGCCGTGTGGTCCGTCGGTGCGCGGGGTCCGGTGTGTGGCACAGGGCGGGCGTCCACGGCTCTAAAAAGCCCGCACCCGGGCTTCAGCTTTTCGAGCTAGCGAGCCAGTCGTGTCCGGTACCACGCTGGCCGGTCACCTGGTCGTACGCGTGGCGATGCTGGTGCAGCACCGGCAGCCGAAGCACGAGTCGAGCGAGTGGTCGCGCCCGGTCGCGCCGCTGAGAGTCACATTCTGCGCTGCACCCGTCCGCCTCCGGAGCACCAGAACGCGGACGGGAGCAGCAACAGTTGGAAGGGGGAGGGGGGGGGGGGGGGGAGGGGGGATCCAAGCTGTCGCGCCCCGATCCGCAGCACGAGACAGCCATCGTGCCCACGGCTCTCTCTATCCCGACAGTGTTGCAGCTTGCACCTGGACGAGGGGCCGCGCCAACCCAAGGGGCAGTTGCCCACGCGGAGAGCGCGCCCACCTGTTAATGCCGTCGCTGCCCGGGACGACGGGAGACGGCATCCCCGAGGGAGCGTCGAGCCCGGTGCACCAACAACAGCAATCCTCATGGTCGGATGCGGGCGAACCGCTGAGCTCGTTACCCACGGGGAGGAGTGCGATGGCCACAACGGAAAAGTGCCATGCATCGCGCGTTGCATGGCACGCGCCTGGTCGGTGAGCAGGCGAGGATGGCTCGCACGGCACCTCCGTCGTCGATCACGGCGGGGACAGCGGCGGCTCCCCCTCGCCTCCCACCTCAGAGGCTGGTGCCTCCTCCACCGACGGCTCGTCGGCCGCCGGGCTCGGGCCAGGGCTGCCCAGGGCGGGGCGCACCGCGAGGGCGTGTGTGGCGGCTGGCAGGCGTGCGTCGGACGGCGACGTCGGGCGGGCGCGCCGCGTCCTTCTGCCGTCATGTGGGAGCGCAGCGTGCTCGTCGGCTGCCCTCTTGGCAACGTCCGCACTTTGAGCCCAATCCATGTTACATGTACAGATCTTGCCCGCCGACCAATCGGTGAACTTTTACTGCCCCCTACAAGGAACAGGCCCCCGCCCTAGAGGCGAAGGCGATGTTTGAGACAAATGTCGACATTTGGTGCTCTTGGAGGTTAAAATCAGCGATCAATATGTGTCAATATATTGTCAATACTTAGAGGGGATGCTGTATCCTGTATCAATAACATATACAATATCTCAATACTTACAGGGCAAGAATCAATCTTTGTAATACCGTACTTACACACTCGAGTGCCCGTTCTTTCGTCCCAGGCGCGTGATGAGTCATGAGAAGCGCAGCGTCGAGAGAAAAACCGCCCTCGCGGAAAACTGTCGCTCGCTCTCGACACTCGAGTGTACCAATGAGTGGAGGCATAGACAGCTGTAGGTTCCCCCCGCGAGCCGCCAGCCGGGACACACTGCCTCACTGGCGCTACGAATAGGTGAGGCACGACTAGATAGACAAGACTCTTGGTGGTGTGCCTCCCCGACCCACACACCCTTGCGCTCGACACACGGGCGGCCGGCACAGGAGTACACGTCGCTCAGCTCCACGCCTGTTCTGGGCAAGGCCGCTCACGGCACCAACGTGGCCTCGCGCGATGAGCGCACCTCGTGCCGCGCCCGCTGCTGCCCCTTGTCGGTGCGCGCCTTTGCGCGCTCGAGGGCGGCCTCGTGGGCGGTGGCGAAGGTGCCAGGCACCCCCTTGGGGTCGAAGCGCTTCTTGGCGTTAGCGTCTTTGTGGACCGACACACCCGCGAAGCCCGACGCGTTGTCGGCCGACGTCTCCAGCTCGTACTTGCGCACCCACCCCTGGCATGTCGCCGCGAAACAAGCCTCGTAGCACTCCTCGACGGTGAGCGGCATGTCAGCGTGTGACCTGTCGTGTGCCTCAACCGCCCGCGTCAGGGCCAGCGCAGGTTCCTGGCACCCGTAATACTTGTAGTGGTCGAAGTTGCCGTACACCGGGATCCCCTCGAGCGCGAAGGCGCAGCAGGAGCCGACGGCGGTGCGGTGCGTGCAGCGGTAGGTGCCGCCGGGGATCAGCCGGCCGCCTGGCCCGCGGTGTGGGTGCCGCACGTCCCACGACGCATCTGCGTCGCCCGCCCACGCAGCCTCCTCGCACCGCTGCCCCTGGAGGCGCGCCGCGTGCGCTGAGCGAAAGAGGAGCCCGCAACCGACGCCCGCGGGTTTGCGGGCGCAGGAGTCGCAGGCGAAGCCGCCGAAGAGGGACTTTGACACTGTGCCCCCAAAGGCGCGCCCATCGGCGGTCTGCTGCAGCGCAGCGGCGATCTCGTCCGCCGTCCAGCTCTCGCGCACCGCCGCAAAGTCGGCCGACCCCTCCGGGCCGAGCCGCTCGGCGAGCCAGAACGCCACCTCGTGCGGCGTTCTGAAATGGCGCGGCGGCCGCTCGAGTTCCATGAGCGAGTACCGGCGGCCCCACAGTGTAGCGGCGCGGGTTGGAGGCGTGAATAAGTTTTATGCCCTTGTACCCGCCCTCACCGTTGCCCGGCGCGAGGGTGAGGCGCTTGGCCGCCGCGGCAGCTTCAACCTCTTGCTTCGTTGGCGGCGGCAGGGCTGGTGGCGCCGCCGCTCGCGTGCAGGCGGGACATTCGCATGGGCTCGTCCACCGAAGCTGCTGTGCGAGCTGCAGAGCCGCCTCGAAGCGGGAGTCGCACAGAGCAAGCTGCACGTTCCCTTTCTTGCGGCGGCTCCAGTATTGGGATTGCCAACGCCCCGACGCCACCACAGCGACGCCTTTAAAACCAGACGCGCATCCCTCGCACGTCACTAACACGACGCCATCCGCTTCAGCTGCGGCCTCAGCGGCTTGGAGGTCCATACGCAGGGTCCAAAATGAAGAACTCAGAGCAGCATGTGAGTTGTGCGTCCATCCCTCCCTTGGGTTGTCCGTTTTCTTTCTTTCTTTCAGTTGTGCGTCTTGGGCCGGGTTGTGTTGTCGCGAGAAAAGCTCGCCTCTTGCGCCGGATTCGCCACCGCCGCCACCGCCGCCAGTGTGTGAGTGAGTATTCTTGATACGAAACCACGACTCCAAGAGCTGTGGCGCGCTGTTTTCACGGTGCTCCGGCTGCCCCCCGGTTAGATCTCGTGCAAAACTCTTTTTATCACCTTCAAGTACACCCCCAAGACTCCCCCAAACCGCCCAGGATGAGCTCCTGAGGTGCGATGGCAGCCAGCAGCGCCGCCAAGAAATCGTCTCTAGCTCTACTCCAAGTGCACAGCTTCTTGCCCCCCCCGCCCGCCCGATCCCGATCATCCGGCCCGCTGGGTGCGCTTCATAGCTCCCCGGCCCTGGGTGTGAGGCTGCCGACTCCACACTCCAAGTCTCTTGGCAGCCCAGCTCGGTCGGGTGTGGTAGGCAGGAGAGAAAGGCAGCTCAGCTCGGGCTGAGTATCTGAGCACTGAGTGGGATAGGGTCGATTCCGCATGGTACGGGACCCCTCGATCGTCTCGCCCTCCCTCGCTGCAGGGTGGGCGTCCGACGAGGTGGGCATATGTGGCGGCTTTGCCGTTATGCAAAATAAAATTCTGCAAAGGGGTGTGAACGGAGAGAGCAAACTCCTGGCAGCTCCCACAGTCGAAATGTGCGCCAGCTGCCCGCTCACCTGTGTCACGCCGCCGCGCACGCACCTCGCTATGTGCTCGCGCGAGCTCCCGCCCGAGCCTCCAGCTCGGTTTCCCACTGCTGCGGAGCCGATCGCTTTTCCTCGGCGCTCGCGTCGAGCCGAGCTCTCGGCACTCTACGGCGGGCGTCGCTGTGCGGGGCGCCCGTTTCCTGCTGGCCCGAGCGGAAAGCTCCACGTGCCCGCGCGAGCTCCGGGCCGAGCCTCCAGCTCGGCGTCCCACTGCTGAGGAGCCGATCGTCGTCCGTCGGTGCTCTCGAGGAGCCGAGCTCCTTGGCCTGCGGCCGGCGACGCTGCAGGACGGCGCGCGCGCACCCCGCGAGTTGCGTGCGCGGGGCGTTAAGAGGAGTGACTACCCCCACACATCGGCGCGGAGGTCTTTCCGCGTGGAAACCCCCCCCCCCCACCCCATTTTAGGGCCCCAAGGCC